GTAGGTCTTTGGTATCCCAAAGGTTCAACATGTCATCTTGTTGGCTATTCCGACTCGGATTTTGCAGGTTGCAAACTCGATAGGAAAAGTACCAGCGGTACTTGCCACTTATTCGGTCATTCGCTAATCTCGTGGTTTAGTAAGAAGCAGGTTAGTGTTGCACTTTCCACCACCGAAGCGGAATATGTCGCTGCGGGAAGTTGTTGTGCCCAAATTCTTTGGCTAAAACAACAACTAGTGGATTTCGGCCTTATACTTGATCACATCCCTATTAGGTGTGACAATATGAGCGCTATTAGTCTAACGAAGAACCCCGTTCTTCACTCGAGGACTAAGCACATAGAAATTAGGCATCACTTCATGCGAGATCACGTCCAAAAGGGAGATGTCACAATTGAGTTTGTTGAAACGAAACATCAATTGGCAGACATTTTCACGAAACCCCTTAGTAGGGAGAGTTTCTTCCACATTCAGAACGAACTTGGAATTTTGGATATCTCTATGAACTAATCCATTCTTTTTATTGACTATACTAATTTGAGCGTCGGAGGCGCGATAAATTCTTTTTTGCAGGGCTTTTATTGTAGGTATCTCTTCCCTTGGTATTCAACCAAATTGGACTTGATGTTTTTTTTTTCACAAACAAGTTTTAATCGATTACTCCTCGAAGAGAAATCGATTAGTCGCCTCTGTCCCTCTTAATCGATTACTTGACTTTGGTTAATCGATTAATATCCGAAACTTTTTGCTCTGCGTCACTTTAATCGATTAATTTGGTTACATTAATCGATTAGACTCATCTGCCCATCTTAATCGATTAACCACGTTTGCTTAATCGATTAATAGCTTGAAACACAAACGTTAGGTTCAGCTCCAATTTTAATCGATTAAAATGCTTCATTTAATCGATTTTGCCTCTGCTGTGTTCCTTAATCGATTAAATACTTTCTTTTAATCGATTAATATTCGATTTATGCCCTTATATCCAGCCCAGGCTTCGTCTTCTTCGCCATTCATCTTTTCGAATCAGATAAACCCTAGCTTTTTCCCTTCTCAAATTTTCTCAATCTTCGTCATATACTTCTCAAATTTCTTCCATTTTTTTCAAATTTCATCAATTTCAAAAAGGAAAAATGCCAAGGTGCAAGAACGCTTCCTCGGGTCAAGAAACTGCGGCAGAGGAGAATGAGAGGCCATGGCGTCGTGAAGGGAGCAAGTACATTCACATACAAACGGGTCTCGCCTTCAACACTGGGGCTTCATTCGAGAGGTTCCACAACACCTTCCTGACGAAGGAGATTGTCTCTCCTAAGATCGTGAACAAGGACCTCTTCAATTCGGCGACCTATGTCCCGAGTAAGTCTCTGTTTCTTCAGCAAGGTTTGCTTCGTTTCATTCATTTGACGTATGAATTCTTTTGTCCAAATCTTATACGTCAATTTTATGCAAATCTTCGTACCACTAAGGGAGGTTCGCCATCTCTCATTTCCTATGTTGATGGCAAAACCGTTTTCATTGACGGTGCCGGTTTGACTTCTTTGTTTGGCCTTCGTCGCGGTGAAATTACCGAAAACTTGGATGAAACATTCCAAGATGAAGCAATTTGGCGACAACTCGGGTTAGATCATCGTGACCTCAAGTTTAGAAATTCTAGCAACCCGAGTGTCATTAATCTCACTTTAATTCAACGCGTCCAACAATACATCTTCTCATATGTTTTGTTGCCCCGTGATTCGAACCATGGCGTTGTCAACAAGGACGATATTCGTTTGTTTCACGTCCTGTTGAACGATGTCAAATTTTATTGGGTTCACTTCTTTATCGTTGCACTTAGCGATGACACTCGTTTTTCCCATCTCCGTTTTGCCATCCCCATTATGCATATTCTTGCTCATTGCAAAATTGACTTTACTCGGGACACTCAGGTGCCGGTCAAGAAGACGTATTTCATCACTGAAGCCAAGTTTTCCCGGATCGTGTATCGAGAGGAGGGCGATGCTGCACTAAATCTGGACCTGGCAGTCGCCAAAGAAGAAGAAGAAAGCCAAAACGAGAATCAAGCTGAGTCATCTCAAGCCGGAGGAAGTCGAGCCACGGAGCGCGTCACTCGTCAACGGAGGACTCGTCCGAGAGAAGAAGCACCGGAACCTTCTTGGGTGAAGAAGATCTTCGATACTCTCACGTGCATCCGAGATGACGTTCGCCAGCTCAACGAGAGGATGACTCGTCTTGAGCAATCTCGCTCCTACCGTGGCCCGCGTCACAGTTTTGGCGGAGGAGCTCGTCCGGCGAACTCTCTTTGATTGTTATTTTTCTTTTCCTCTTGACTGATTATGATACATTGTTATTTGTTATGACTCTTTTGGTGGATGATGATGTTTCCTTTCGATGATGCTAGTTG